TTTTTTTTTTTTTTTTCCTTTTTCCTGGGACGGAGAGGCACATCTCTGGCTAACGGGAGTGAACAAATAGGGATAAAGTGGGGAGAAATGTAATTGAAGTGGCGGGAGACCTGCGGGGCTTAAAATGAAATGCTGGGAGCAGTGCGGAGCTAGTGGTGCTAGAAGCATCGGGTGTCTGCCCGTCCTTTCTCCTCTTCTAGTTAGACGCGCACCTTTCCCTTTTCCTTTCCCCACCTGTTCTACACTACTCAGATATTAAACCGAGTCGACTTCATCCCAATGATGGAAACCCTTCCGAGCTGCAAGCCGTTCTCCCTCCCCAGTGCCCCTGCCCCTCTGGCAAAGGGCTGGCCAGCTCGGTGTGCCGGCAGCCCACTCGGCTCTCCGGGGTGGCACATCTCCCATCTCCGCGGCGCGCCGGGGACCGCGCCGCCCGCTCAGCCCGGGAAAAWGCTTTGGGTGGAGTAGCATTCGGGGCAAAGGTGTTGGCACAAAMGGCAGGTCTCAGAGGTATTTAAGGACTACCCGATTTTAAAATATTTTAAAAAAAGTATTAAAGGAGAGCTAAGTGTGTACGCTGTAAGAGCAGCAGGAAGTTGGTTGGGTGTCTGCAGCCAGGTTTGGGTTGAAGATACCGGGACTGCGACCCGAGGCGGGTGGAGAAGGGGCTGCCCTGCCCTGCCCTGCCCTGCCCTGCCCGCTGTCCCGCAGGGCTCGGCCGGGGGCGATGAAGCGCTTGATGTCAGCGTGGTCCGTGCATCACAGGATGGCCTGAAAGGAGGATGCCCATTAAAGTAGTTCATTATCCTACAGAGGGGTTAGTATTTTTTATTGCGTTGTCAAGCGGTTGTAACATACTTGTTTTACAGTTTCAGTGGCTAAAGAGGCAGTTTAGATCAAGCCAATTCATAGTGAAAGGCTTTTGTTTTTCTTTTTTGTGTGTTTTCTTGGCAAGATTTCCTTTTCAACGTAAAACTGCTGACAGAATGCACACTGCCAAACAATTGTGATTACATTTTAATTAGCTAGAGTGAAATAAGAAGGGAATTACTCAGTTAGGACTTGATAACTGGCTGGTTTTTTTTTATAATCAGTTGAAAATCTCAGAGTTTTAACCCCAAYCTGCTAAAGCACGTGGTAATTAATCTAAATTACTAGGGATTAAACTCCTGCTAGACATGAAACGACTGTAATGTTTGGAAGATAAAGTGCTCTGGTTTATAAAAGTTAAGCTCTCCATTGTCTTATAATGAGGGAAAGGAGGAGAGTATTAAAGTACATCCAGCATCCARTGTTTTCACAGGAGACTGATAAGACATAGTGGACTGTTGGATGTGTAGGTTTGGGCCAGATTATCCCATGTGGGCTAAAGGGTACGATGTTCCTTCCATTCCTTTCTCTTCTCCCTCCTACCATTCCTCTTCCCTTTTCATCTCAACTGGTAGCAATTTCTGGAGTTCTTTTCATTTCAGAGGTGCCCACTTATCTTGTAATCTGATTCAACCTTTGAAGCAAACTAAATGCTAGCTCTTCCCAGTCAGAGCAGGAAGGAACTGTAGTGTTTCCCAGTAAGGCAAGAATTGAAAGAAGACTGACCTGCTCATTCCTCAGCCCTGATTTAGATACAGCCTCAGTGGTGGCAGTTAGGGAGATGGCAGCTGGATGCTTTGCGAGAGATGACATCCCCAAAACTTCAGAGGGACTTCCTTTTGCATATATTATGCTACTAAAATCATATTACTAACAACTTTTAAAGAGAATGAAGTAGTATGAATGGGAATTCTGGGTAGAGTTCTATACCTTCTGGCTCTTGTGTGAATAGCAACTAGTATTTTTCCAACTTCCAAAATATTCACAAGAGATTTTAATTGATTTCTCTGCTCACATAGAATTTTCACCTATTTTTCTTCACTGTCCATATTTTTGAAAGGTTCAAGAGGTATTCTTTTTTTAAAAAAAGCTGTTTGCTAATTTACACTTGGAAAGTACTTCTAAACTTATTTTAAAGGTACACTGTCAGTAGAGAATTACTTGAACTGAAGCTTAGGTTAAATAATATACTTTTTTTTTTTTTTCCATGCAGACTATTGATATGGGCTGGAAGAAGAACTGGTCACCTAAATTGAAAATCTTTGATCCTCAGAATACTTGTTGCACAGGCACAGATGCCTGTTTTTTCCTCTAAGATCCCTGTGGCCAGGGGGCTTTTCCAGTTGTGGTAGCATTGGCAAGTTCCATGTAGAGGTTATACGAAAGAATATGTGAGGTCATTATGAGGGTAATGCCCCACATGGATCTTACACCCAAGGAAATATTTATGTTTTGTATCTATGGCCTATCTGTAGGCCATGAACTTTCACAGAGAGCTTTCTAGCACAAAATCCTTTAGTTCTAAGTAATCAAATAAAAAATGTAAGCTAAAGGATCGCAGTGGATTCTTCTTCTGTGTAACAACTTATTGATTACATACTCATCCACACTGGAGGATTATGTTTCATGTCTAAACGAAGGGACTTCAACATACCTCTTCTGTCTTACTGGAGTGTGTTCAATAGTGGGCTTTAGCTTGCTCTAAAATTTTGCAGATGGGAGAAAGTATTTTTATCCCAACTGTGTAAGTTAAGCCCCTGGACAGCACTGGATGAAGCATTTATTGACCTGCGACCAGAAGGAGTAAGGGCAAAGAGAACTCATCTCTCTAGCCTTATGTTCAGAGTACTTACTTTTAGCTATTTTGGGTGTTGAGACTGGGGTTTTACAATGACTGTTGCACAATGTGTGAGGGAGTAATTGGAGCAGTCACTGAACCTGTCCATCTCTTGGGTCAYTGCTTTGATAAAGCAGAGTAGAGTTCCTTGTGTTGGGCTTTTTTTTCTAACAAAATTCTTTCTAAAACACCTGAACAGGGGAGAATGGCAAAAGTGTTCTTCTAGTAAGCAAGAACATGACCATCAAATGGCCTATTAGGAGGAAAAGGTAAAGATTTGAACCTTACTGTCCTGTATCATAAACAGTGTTGTGTGCATTTGTCTGTTATCTAGAAGACCGTGCCTGAGTGTTAGTATGGTGCCCCTCTAAGATGGGAAGGATAATTCCTCCTCTGGTTTGGAATTAGAGGAATGACTCTAATTGGCTCCACAAGAAACACCATGTGAATCCTGTGTGGARAAAGGCATACTATTTTAGTGACAGAGATTGAAAAGTGATATTATTGGATAGATTCTTTCCCTCAACATTTTCCTATTAAGGTAGTTCCTATCTTGATGTTTTAGTTGATGTTCAGCAGGAAAGTACAAATTCTAAATTGATGTGTTCAAAGTTTATTTGTGAATCTAGTTTTGTAGTAACTTAGTTCAGTAGGTAAAACCCTCATGAAGCTGAGGTCAGCTACTGCACAAGTTTTTGTTTTCTTGAAAAGGGTATAGATATAAACAGGGATAACATATAGCTAGCTGGACAAGAGGTTTGAATACTCAGATTAGTTTCACTAGGGCTTTTCTGCATAACCTGCCTRATTTAGTGGAGTGAGAATAAATTCCTTGCTTTGCTGTCTCTGTGTAGCCTTTCCCATTTGTGATATTAGTTGTGGATGGACTCCTTTTGTTTTGGAGGAGCAGGCATGGCAGTGACCTTTAGTATTTTGTTTTCAAGTTGAGTGAAAAATCACTTTGGATTTTAATCTCTACTGCCAGCCATCTGAGCTGTGTTTTAAAACTGGCAAGATGAAAATTTTCTTTGTGAAAAAGAGCTTGAGCATCAGTGTAAAGGTACAGCATAAAAATGCTGTGGAGAGCAAACTGTTTACTTTGACCTGTGAACTTGTTGATCTTTTGTCTTAGTTGGCATCTGTTGCAGACCTCTCAAGTGTCTTCCTGCTTAATTTGTACAACTTGGTAATTTAGTTAAGACAGTGGAGCAGTCAGTCTTGTTTGCTGGGTCGAAAGCTAAGAGGGTGGTAGAACATTCCCTAAGAATTTGGGGTAGTTGGTCAATAAAATTGTTCTTATGGTGTGGAGTCACTGGAGAGGTCACAGCCACATGCTCACAGAGTGACAGTAGCTGARGCTGAACAGCACTTCCTGTCACCCTGTTCTAGTGTTTAACCATCCTGACAGYTAAAAAGGTGTTTTCTCAAGTTCAGATGAAGTTTCCCATCTTTGGATGGGAAGTTTCAAGTTTCAAGTTTGGCCATCTCCCCTTGTCCTGTTGCTGGGCACCTCTGAGAASAGTCTGGCTTCAGCTTCTTTACTCTGTCCTATCAGGTACTTAAAAACATTGATGAGAAACCCTTGAGGCTTTTCCACTCCAGGCTAAACACTCCCAGTTCTCTTCTTGAGTGAGAGATACTGCAATCCCTTTTCTGGACTCCCTGTGCTAAGTCCATGTCCCACCATGTAATGGAGTGCC